ACATTGAGTATGGTTTAGTGTCTACTCAATCTTATTTAGCCATATTTAGTCTTGTCCTTAACATTAATTCATAAATAAGCTTTAAAGCAATTCTAAATTTTTAATTCACTTTTGTAAAAAATTTCTCAAGTTAATCCAATCAAGATTAGTTGAGATACTCTCTTATCACATATGGTGATAAATCCCATCTTGATGACTTTTTATATCTCCATATGCCTCATGTTATACCCAAAAATACTTGACTGAAGCATTCTTTGTTAGAACCACAAGTAAAGTAAAGTCAAAACATAACATTTATCATATAAGATCATAAGTAATCTTAAGTTAAAGGATCACTTATACAACCATCATATGAGAATATAGCTATAGACACTATGTGAACTACCACATAGCATTCTCATATAAGATTACGTTCAATGAACTTGTTTTTATAATAAACACCCACATGTTAGCTCAAGTTTATCAAAAACTTCAACCTATGAGATAGGTTGCTTGCTTCATAAGCAAGAGTATAATCATGTGCTAGTTTCAATAACTTTTGTCAATGTATTTTTATTGATAAAGTATCGACTATGAATAATTTTAGAGCATATAGCTTTTATGCAATGATGATGTCATAATTATAATCTCATTATAATTCTCTTGCAAACTTTATTTATATTTCAAGGACTTTATCATAGAACCATCAACATTGAAATATATGTACACAAGCTCAATGATAAAGAAATAAGACCTTTATAAGATATCAAATATCAAAGTATCACAAATATGATATTATATTAGCCAAAATATGATTCAAATAACCAACATTAAAATCTATTAGAAAGATAATTTTTGGTTTACGAAATCAAAGTCGGGTTCGTGAGTATAGTAATACGTGAAGAAGGATTAGTGCCCTACTACTCTCATTTTAAAAATGATACCAATTAACTATGCTTTATCTTTTAATTTTGATAAAAAAATCTTAATTTTGATATTTAAAAATAGTTTCCTTTTTTCTTATTGCAACAAAAAAAAAATCTTTTGTTTGTTTTAATCTTTTATTTGAAAAATAAATAAGAACCTTGTATATCGAAGACTTGCTAAAAATATTTCAATATGTTGGTAATATTTAGAGGAACTTTTTCACCTAGAGATCTCTTAAAAATCACTACTCGGACTTCTAAAAAATCCCTCCTTCAGCAATTCATATTTATCTTCAAAATCAATAAAATGATATTTATAATTTGACTCAAATAATATTTTTTTTCCAAAAAAAAAAAAAACTTGTTTCTTATCTTTTTATTAAGTCCCTTTTTTTTATTAAAAAGGGGTGGACAAAAATCTTTATAAAAAATTGTTTTAAATGCTCTAATACTTTGACGATGTTTTAGAAAAATATTTTCACTTAGATATTCCTAAATAATTACTACTCGGACTTCTTTAGAATCTCAATAATTTCTATTTCTTTCAAAATGGTATGTATGCATAAAACATAATGCTTATGAATCAATTTATAATATTATTATTGTGCACAAAAATTCATTTTTTAAATGAAGAAAAGTAAATGAGAATTTTTATTGAAAATTATTCTAAATACTCCAATATTTTGATAATATTTTCAAAAATTTTCTCACTTAAAGATTTTTTAATAATCACTACTCAGACTTCTCTAGAATCCTATCATTAAAATTTCTTTTTTAAAAAAAATTATTAATATTTCATGCTAAAAGTTATACAATAATAAAATTATCCATAAATAAATTTATTTCCTAAAAAATATTTTTTTAGAAATATTTTATATTTTTATTTCTATTAAGAAAACTATTCAAATTAGAGAAAATAATAAATAAATGAAAATCTTTGCATTGAAAAAAATTTTTAAATATTCTAATACTTTGATAATTTTTAAAAAATTTTTTCACTTAAAAAATTTTTAAGAATCGATACTCGAACTTTTCAAAATTCCATCATCGAAAAAAAAGTCTCATTTAGTTATTTGTATTTCATAACAAAATTCTTATACTAACATAATTGCCCACAAATAAATTTACTTCTTACAATATGTACTTTTATTTATTAATTCATATATAATTTTTAAATCACTAATTTATGTTAACAAGCATTAAAACAAATAAATATAAAACATAACTAATTAAAGGAGCGTACCTTTGAATTTAATCCAGAATTGTAGCTCAAAATGAGCCCACACAGGTTGGGCCTCTCATGGATCTCAGGTCGGATTAGCAATGTTGGATGGGTTGGAAAGGGTTGGTTTGACCTATCTGTGTGTTTTTTTTTTTTTCTTTTTCATAGCTATAAAAATAGCTTTTTTTTAACCAAACATTTTAACACTTCTCTCCCCAAAAAAAAAGCCAGAACAGTCTCTCAACTTCAAAAACCAATAGCCCCTATTTTTCCAGAATTTGGCGAGCCGCCATTACCACTACTGTACACCGCTGTTGGCCACCGTCAGTTGGTCAACGTGCTACCCCTAATTTTCACCACAGCTTCATCTTTCATCATCTTCATGGATCCAAGCTCAAAATACCCTTAGAGTCGCAGATCTACACCAAAATTCACGGCCAAAACAACCCAAAACACCTACCTCCAGCGCACCAAACACGTAAACTTTCAAGATATCGTTCTTTTCCCTAAGGCTGACCTACCTCCAAAAAGTAAACCTCAAAAACCTTTCAAACACCCCAAACATGCCTTGATCGAAACCTCTCTTTTGTGCTTTATTATTATTATTATTATTATTATTTTTACTTTTAGCTCTGAGGTTCCTTTACCCAGGGGATAGTTTCGTGCCATTTTAATGGATTTGACTTTATGATGGGTTTGTTGTTTTTAACTCTTGAATTAGGCTTATTTCATTTTATCAATTTTATAGCCTAGGCTTTTTCCTTTATGCTCACCTGTTATTCTGTTGAAAAAGAGAGTGAGTGTGCTGTGTAATGGCAGAGTGGGGAATTTGCAGTTGGCATTATTGTGAGACCAGCTTAAAAGGGAGAAGCACGAGTATTGTAAGGATTCTATTGTGTGAAATGAAATGAATCTCTTCTTTTCTCGAAATTTCTTTTTCTCTTTCTCTAGCCTTCTTCTCTATTTCTTTCCTTGTTCGTTCATTTTTCTGTTTCAGTTACAAATTTTGTAGTCAGTAAGAAAGGGAACGCATCATTAGGATCAGAGCCTCTTTCCTGGCATCCATAACAACCATGTAACCCATCCATAAAAGGAAGCTCAGCTGCTGGATTCAAGGCTAGATCAGTGCTTTAAAAGGTTTCGGGTGGAGCTATGAGCGGTTCTTAAGAAGTTGTTACGGATGGCCTTTAACCCTATGTCTGGATTGGAGAACTTAAAGCAAACTGGAATGGTCGATCAGTATTAAGAAGAATTCGAAGGTTATCTAGAATTTCTGCAAGTAATTGATGAAAATGTTGTCAATCTCTTAATCAACAATTTGAAGCCTGACCTCTCTAAAGCAATAAGATTCTTTTGCCCAAAATGCTTGACACGTTGAAAATAGCTAAACATTAATAATCTTGGTTTTATGATGTACCTAAAGAACCCTCTATATCGAACACTACTTCTGCCATTCAATCTAATCTTCAGCCTCAAACTAAACGACCCTTATCACTAACCCTTTTAAATATTGATGGGAATCCAACAATGACCGCACCAATAGACAAAAGTGACTCAAAAAGATATTTTTGCTGCTTCCTATACTGAGAATAATGATAAACCTTGTAATGATTGTGTTATTGTGGGTAACCCTATCAATTTTGAAGCTTCATACTCTTTCAAATTGGTTTTCCACCCATTTCAGCATCATGGACAAGGCGTTGAAAGTATTGTAGATATGGACAACACTGCTTTTGAATCAATTACTAAGGTTGGGTTAGTATTTAAAAAGTGTAATGAGTTTAATTGTGTTAAATTGCCTACCGAAATGAATAAGGAGCAAGCTAATTATTCAATTGCTAGTCCACTAATGTTGAAGAACATACAACCTTTTGTTGAAACAAATAGGTTTAAGACTATTGGGCTAGTAAATAATGGAGATCATGTTAGAACTTTCTTATTCAGGGCTATTAATGTGATCAGGAGGCTTGTTGCTATCCTTGATCCCTTCCAGTTTAGGCTTTTGGTAATGGGACTAAGGAGTTAGGGTGCTGATACCATTGCACAAGTTACTGGTTTCCTTATGGTTTCCTTACGTAAAAGGAACTTGATTATCTTGTTGGATTTGTGGCAATTCCTAATATGCCAACTGCTATTATAATTGGTGTTTCTAAGGTATCAACTAAGATTGGAGTAATTGGATCTTCATTGGTCAAGGTTGATGTTCTCTTATTCGGTGTAGAATTGATCTTTTTATTCCACAAGACCCAAAGATATTCAAATGGATCAATACTTGTGGAGGAAAACAAACTTGATTAAGCAATGTCATTATTAGAGAAAGCCAAGGCAACAGAGGTGTCTACCTCCTACTCACTTCTGGACACCACTGTTGATTTAGCGAATGAGACTAGGTTTAATGATGAGAGCAAATTCTTGGTTTGCATTCATTGCCCAAAGAGTTATTGAAATCAAGGTCTATGCTATGATAGACAAAAAGGGAAATATTATTAGCCATACCTGTTTATTGAAAATGAAATTGCTCCTATATGGCTAGAGGTTTTTGAGTGGAGTGGTGAATATGTGGTTTGCCTAATTATGAATTTTGCTTCTTTGTCTGGGCCATTGCATACCTTGCATGTCTCTCAAATTCCTATCGATATGCCTACTTTATTAGCCATTTTTCAAGCTCCTGAAGGTTCCATCCTTGGGGTGATTGCTTCTTACAACAAGGTTCCAAGCCTGATGAAGTTGAATTTAGGCGCTGGTGTTTATAGAACTTTTAGAGAAAACCTTTTACGTTTCAATGTAGTTTGGAAAGTAGAACAGCTTCTTGTTAATGACCAGTCAAGAGTCAAGGAATATATTCCTATTTTGGGTTTCACAAAGTCCAATAAATTGAGTGCTAAACTCAATTTTGGTGGTAATTGTCCTACTATTCAAAAGAAGAGAATGGTTATTGCTCAGTGCTTGTCTGGTACTAGTTCCTTGAAGGTTGGAGTTGAGTTTTTAGCCTAGCATTACCTTTCAAAAACTATATACATTCTGCTGTCATCATAGGGAAACCTTTTAAAGTTTTCACGATGGCAGGGTTATTAGAGAAGACTTGTCACTACTTTGATACAACAATTCATGGGCTCAATTTCCAAGACTTGCTAGAAGATCTTGGTGCAGCACCAATTGGAGCTATGATACTTTTTCATGCGTGTGCTCATAACCCAACTCTTGAGCAGTGGGAGAAGATTTGGCAGTTGATAAGATCTCAAGGGTTATTGCCCTTCTTTGACAACGCTTACCAAGGGTTCACAAGCAGTAGTTCAGATGCGGATGCAGATGCACAGACTGTTTGTATGCCTGTTACAGATGGTGGAGAATACCTTATAGCTCAAAGTTATGCAAAAAAACTGAGACTTTATAAGGAGCTTGTTGGTGCTCTGAACATCGTTTGTAAGGTACATGATATCGCAAGCAAGTTTAAGAGTCAATTAAAGCTTGTGATTGGGCCTATGTATTCTAATCCACCTATTCCTGGCATGTCAATTGCAGACACCATTCTCAAGAACAGTTATATGTATAATAAGTGGAAGATTGAATTAAAAGCAGTGGTAGGTCAAATTATCAGTGTGCACAAACAACTATTTGATGCTTTAAGCATTAGAAAGACTCCCGGTGACTTGAGTTACATTATCAAGCAAATTAGAAGATATACTTTTACAGGTCTTAGTTCCCAGACTGTTTTGGGTTTTGCCTTAAGCTTCACTAATGTGCTGGTTCAGCACATACCATCTTCCAGGGATGAAAACCATGATGTAGCAGAAGCTAGGAAAATTTTTTTTGGGAAACAAATTAACAGCAAGTATACTTCAGTCTACGGTCTAATGGATGAGATCCTTGGTGTTAGTGCTTATTTTGGCCTTACAAGTTTCTGGATTTCATCCTTGAGGATAAGGATGTTTTTCAACGAGGGAGCACTTGTTGGATTTAACTTTATGATGGGCTTGCTGTTTTTAACTCTTGAATTGGGCTCATTTCATTTTATCAATTGTATAGCCGAAGCCTTTTCCTTTATGCTCAATTGTTATTCTGTTGAAAGAGAGAGTGAGCGTGCAATGATGTAGTGGGGGAGTGGGGAATTTGCAACTGGCATTGCTGTAAGACCAGCTTAAAAGGGAGAAGCACAAGTATTATAAGCATTATGTTATGTGAAATGAAATGAATCTCCTCTCTCCTTCAAATTTCTTCTTCTCCTTCTCTAGCCTTCTTCTCTATTTCTTTCCCTGTTTTTTTATTTTTCTATTTTAGTTATAAAATTTGTAGTCACTGAGAAAGGGAACGCATCAGGGACATGTTTTTTTTTCTTTTTTTGTGATTGTCGTCCCTGTCCCTTTTTCTATTTTCTATTTTTATTTGGGCAGAGATGTTCGGCTGGGATCAAGGGTTTTTTTCTTTTGGCGTTGTAATTTTCAAGGTTTTTTTTTTTGTTGGCAGTGGGTAGCTCTTGGGGAGGAGGCCGAAGGGTGTGTGGCATTTTTATTTTGGTGGAGGCCAGTCTTGGTGCTAACGAAGGCAGAAGGTTTTTTGTGGAATCCCAATCTATTCGGTTACACTGGATTTCAACCTTTTTTGGGTGTCGGCAAATCCTGTTTTTGTGATTGTTGGTGAATATTCTGTTTGTCTAATCTTTAGTGTCGGGTTGCACTGTCCGGAGGTTATGGTGGATGGTGTCATGATGAAGGCAGTGAATTTATGGCATTTCTCTTTGGCCGTGATGGGTTTGGTCTTTTGGGATTGTTTGTGTGGTAATTGAGAATGGGATTAATTGGAGGTTTTTGGGTGTGTTTGGGTTGAAAGCAGGGAGGGTAGTCTGTTTTGGGTAGATTGGTTGTTTGTTTGTTTCTTTAACAGAAAGGTGTTGAGGGGGTTTTTTATTAGGTTGGGAGTTTTCCTTTTTGTCGAGTATTCCTCCTGTTCTTTGTGTATTCCCCTTCCCTCTCTACGTGAATTTCATCTGTGAAGTTTTTTTGTCACCACTTTCAAAGTTCAACAGAGCTGTAGGTAGTGCTCTGTAGAAACAGGTGACAAGGTAGGGGAGGTTGCTATTTGGATTATCGAGGGATGAATTGCTGCCCCTAGTATAGCACTGGCCACCGGCCACTTTAATATTTCTTGTTGTTTTCTCGTTTCTTCTTTTTTTTTTTTTTTTTTTTGGAATTTCAAATTAGTTTGATAAATTAAAAAAATAAAAATAAAATTAGACTTAAAACCCTAATTTGAACATAAAATTAGAGTTTGAGGCTTGAAATTTTGATTTGAACTCTTATTGGGCTTGCAAGCAAGTGATTGAATTTTAACCTAAAATTAAATTAAATTGGACCTTAAACCTTCAACAATAATTAGTTCAAAATAACTCTTAGTGGTTCAATCCAATTAAAATGTCTTAATTAGTTTGACTAGAAACATTTTGATCGAACATAAAAATCGAATAAAATTGAATTGATTCGAATAAAATTAAGTATCTACATAAAAGTTACTATTTTTTATTATGTATATAGAGTATTCAATCTTTAAAAACACAAAATAACTCTAAGTTTTATCACACTTATAAAAAATATTTTTCATTTGATTTTTTATATACAAATTACTTTGGGTCTTTTTGAGTTAGTGACAAAGTCTCCTATTTTATTAGGAATTCACACTTGCCTAATTTTAAGTGGAACTTTCCTTCTTATAGGGTAAGTGGATATGGAATGACCATAAAATTTACAATAATTGCATTTGGCCATTTTAGCATTTAAATTATTGCTTAAAAACTTTTATTGTTCACTAATTAACTAATCAAAATTTCTTTTCAAGTCATCATTTTATTTTTCCAATATTTCATTTCTCTTTTGGCATGCATCAAATTCATTTTTAACTTTTCATTTTGGTTTTCCAAATAGTTTTTTGTATTCATCAAAAATTATTTTTAGCATTTAATTTTGAATCATTTTTTTATGTCTCAATCTTAAAAACTAAAATTCAACAAGTAACTCATTAAATGAGTTTTGTAATTCATCAAATATATAATCACAAGATTGAGATTGATTTTGTGAAAATGTTACCTCAAAATCTTCAAAAGCCATGAAACATGGTTTGTATTGGTTTAAAGATTGCCTTTCACAAGAAATTTCTTGAACTTTCTCTTCCATTTTTGTTTCTCCATACATGTCTTCAAGTTTCTCCATATTTCCTTGGCATTTGAGCATTCTGCAATTAACTTGAAGTTGTTAAAGTCAAATGCATTGTAAAGCATATTCATGGCAACTGCATTGGCTTGTACAAGCTTTATGTGATTTTCATCCACTTTTTCATCATTTGATGCAGCATTAAACCCTTTAATGATAATCTCATATGCTTCCATAGCTTGTGCCATAATAAAAGCTTTCATTCTCATCTTCCATTGAGTGTTGTGTGAAGTATTGAACTTAGGATACACCATAATAGATTGTCCTTCAACAAGTGTTGTATCAAAGAATTGAGCCATAGGATCATTCTTAGATTGTTGACTTAAAAAAAAAAATTCAAGCTCTAATAGCAGTTGTTAGCACAAGTATAGATAACAATCTAAGAGAGGGGGATGAATTAGATTGTCTTCAAATTCTTTCCCAAAATTGACTTTTAATGAATTTGAATGAGAAATTTTAAATAATAAAATCTTTGATGGAAATTAGATGAGATTAACAATAACAAAGAAAATTAAAGTACATATAAATAAGAATGAAAATAAAAGAGTAAGGATAGAGAAATCAAATATAAAAATTTAAAGAGGTTCAATTATTCTCTAAAAGCACCTAAGTTTTTTCTCTTAGCTCTTCTAGCTAAGCATAATCCACTTAATGAGAAATCTCTTGTAAAATCTCTATCCTTCAAGGTTAGGATAGCAATCTCTACCAATTCTAGGATTCTACCCAACCCTATCAATTTCATTCAGGAGAATACCCCACCCTTTTAAAAAGTCCTTTTTGAACACAAAGGAAATTGTAAACTATGAAATACCTCTAAAAGGTTAAGTGCTTGCCTAATTTAAGTACAAAGAATGACAAATGAAGAAAAATATAATTTGGATACATGGATGGAAAGAATTAAAGCTCTAATATTTAAAATGCTCTAGAATTCTTGAGAGAATGAATATAAGGCTTGTTAGTGATTGTTCTCTTACTTCACAAGTGTGTTAAAATGTCTAATTTTTAGAGGAAATGAGTTTGTAGCCATTGGAGGAGATTAGAAAATGAAAAGGCATGTTTTTCTCCTTTCAAAGTAGCTATTATAAGTTATCAAGAGTGAAGGGATCGATTGGGTCCATTAAGGGATCTATTGGTTCTTGAATTTTATTCAAATTTTAATCGTTATAGGTGAATGGATCGATCCATTTTTATAAGGTGTCAATCTGTTTTTAGATTGGATCAATCCATTTTCATAGAGGATCGATATATTTTCAAAATGGATCAATCCATTTTATAGGGGATTGATCCCTTTTTACAAAATTTGTTTAGGAGACATTTTGTATGAATAGTGCATTAACTACCTTCAAATAAATCTTCTTTTACACTCTACTTACTAATTTGATCGTATCTTGAGTTATACAACTCCAAATTAAGATCCGCTTGAAATTTAGAAACTATGCTTAAGTGGCTTTTTATCCATATAAAATTCAACATCTAATTCATTGTATAACAATTATAATGAAATTCTAAATCTACCCATTGTGCAGTTGTTAGACAACTTGCATAGTCTCTAGTAAAAATTCAAAATCTTTTTTTAGAAAATTTAGATTTACATATTGTTTGATCCATTAGAAAGTAGACTCAAAAGTCATTCTATCCATATAAAATTCAAATATTAAAACTTTGTAAATCAATATGGAAAAATAAAACAAATTTAATGCTTGAAAACTTTGTTCTTACAAAACAACTTTCTCAAGTTAATTCATTTCTCAAAACTAATATTATCAAATTGTATTGTGTCCAAGATGAATTAAGTTCACTTTTAAAACAACAATTGGACTTACATTTAAGATTAAATAAATAATCGATAAAGTTAGTTTTGGTTTGAGAAATACAAAAATATAAAGAAAGATTTTAAGCTTTACAAAAATATTTTTCAAATCAAATATTATTTTGGAAGACATAATATTTATTTAGTATAAAAAATAATATGTCATAGGAATTATGTACTAATTAAATGTTTTCAAAGTCCAAAACCTTTTTACAAAACATTTTTCATTTCAAATATTACTAGTATTTATTTAGTACTAAAAACAATATAATTTAAGAATATGCACTAAATAAATCATTTTCATAACCTTTATCAAGCTTATTTAACTTAATGTTTTGCTATCTCAAAATAAGATTAATTTAAGGCTAACACAATACATTTGTTGTTTGTTAGTTGTTTGAATAAATTTAAAAGTTTGAAAGTTAGTATTCTTGGTGTTTTCAAGGTGTTTGATGAAATAAAAATACAAGTTTTTATGAGTTTCTCAAGTGTTTGATGAAATGGCAACACAAATACTCACTAACATGACCAAGGGGTCTTGGCCTTGGTGTTTCGAAGGGTCTTGGCCTTGGTGTTGCCCATTGCCTTGGCCAAACCCTTCATTTTCCTATTGGTAACCATTTGCTTGGTTTTAATGTTTGTTAAGTATTTGATAATTTGTTCATGTCTTGCATCATAATCGATTAGTCTCATGTATTTAGTATTGTCATGTATTGCTAAAACCTAAACCCTAAATCATAAATCCTAATCCTAATCCTAATCTTGACCTTAAACCCCAAACCAAAGCCTAACCTTAAACTAAACACCAAATCAAACCCTAACCCTAAACAATATCTAAATTCTAAACCCTAAAGCCTACACCCTAACCTAAACTAAAACTTTAAACCTAAACCCTAAATCAAAATCCTAATCCTAAACTAACTTAAAATAAAACCCTAAAATCAAACCCAAACCCAAACCCAAACATTAAATTCAAACCCTAAAACTAAACTTACCCTAAACTCTAAATTCCAATCCAAACCTTAATACAAATCACATTCCCATGTATTTACATTTTTACTTGTTTAATAATTTGTTACATGCATTAGCATTCTCAATTGTCATTTGCATGTCATCTTTAATTATATTCATGCATTTATATTTGACATTTACAGTTTGTTGCATTCACATGAATTTTTAAATGATGGTTTTAAAAATGTTTTAAAAATAACAATAAAATTCCAAGTAAAAATTGTCCTTGAGACCTTGCCTAAATATAAGAAGGATTCTCAATAATTATTTTTTATGAAGAATATTATCTTTATATTTTTATTCATCATCATGCAAATCCTAAAGTGAGGAAATGTTTTCGAAATTCTACCTAAATATAAGGGAGTTTAGAAAATTTTGATACCAAAGGTTTCCATTTTAATAAAAAAAATGATTTGCATTTTTAAGAAAAAAATGAGATTTAGTGGAAATAAATGAAATTTAAAGAATTAACTTTAAATATTAAAGTCATGACCATTTTTATCAAAACTGAAAGATAAAATGCGATTAATTGGTACCATTTTTAACAGTGTTGTACGGGTGCTAATGTTTCCCCATACATAACCAAACTCCCAAACCTATCTCTATTTTTAAAGACCAAAATTTTCTTTTTAATAAACTTTAAACTAGTTTTAGGGTTTTATTAAAAAATAAACTTTTAAGGTGACTAATCACACCTAAAAAAAAAGATTAATGGCTACTCCTTTTATTTATTTTAAAATTCATCAAACCAGTTGGGTTCTTAGATCCATATGTTATGATAACTTGACACTCCACTTAAGACTTTTTTTTTAGAGATTCAAGCCAAAAATTAATTATATATTATCTTAAGTTTTTATTTGATAGAACTAGTTAATATTTAACTTTAATTCCTAGATTTCAATTTTCTTATTTTCCAAAAATAAAATTAAAAAAATTAAAAAATGTTTTATATTGCAAGCATGCTTTAAT